ACAGTAGAGAATGGGCTGTGTCCAATGTAAGGATAAGGAAGCAGCGAAACTGACGGACGACAGGGAGACCAGCCTGTCGCACAACTCGGGCTACCGCTATGGCTCAGAGCCCACGCCCCAGCACTACCCGGGCTTCGGCGCCACCACCATCCCCAACTACAACAACTTCCACAGCGCCGCCACGCAGGGGGTCACCGTGTTCGGAGGGGTGCACAGCTCGTCTCAGTCCGGCACGCTACGGTCACGTGGAGGAACAGGTCAGTGCGCTGGGGTCTGGTCTGGTCTGGTCTGTTAACGGGAATATATCGTTTTGTTTTTCCGATCTGTGTTGTAATGTTGTTTCCTCGTCACAAACAGACCCGGAGTTGTGTTTTGTTTCGTTCACGTGTTTAACTCACAAAGCCCCGGCCTGTTTAGGCTTGTTTAGGAGTTCTTCTCGCAAATGGAAAAAAAAACTGTTCCAGCTTGTGATGTCGTGTGGTGATACAGGACGTGCTCCACTGTGTTTTTAAACTCCATACACCAGGGCTTTTCAAATTGGGTGAATGTGAGCCTCCCCTTAGAGTAGGTAAAGGTTTTAGTCTTGTTTTAGTCCCGATTTTAGTCCTGGTTTAGTGCTGGTTCTGTCCTGGTTTTAGTACTGGTTTTAGTACTGGGTTTAGTCCTGGTTTAGTCCTGGTTTAGACCTGGTTTAGTCCTGGTTTAGTCCTGGTTTATTGCTGGTTTAGTCTTGGTTTTAGTGCTGGTTTAGTCCTGGTTTTAGTACTGGTTTTAGTCCTGGTTTAGACCCGGTTTTGTCCTAATTTTAGTCCTGGTTTTAGTCCTGGTTTTAGTCCTGGTTTTAGTCCAGATTTTAGTCCTGATTTTAGTCCTGATTTTAGTCCCGGTTTTGTCCTGGTTTTAGTTCTGGTTTTAGTTCTGGTTTTAGTCCTGGTTTTAGTCCTGATTTTAGTCCTGATTTTAGTCCCGGGTTTTAGTCCTGGTTTTAGTCCTGGTTTTAGTCCTGATTTTAGTCCTGATTTTAGTCCTGATTTTAGTCCTGATTTTAGTCCTGATTTTAGTCCTGGTTTCGTCCTGGTTTTAGTTCTGGTTTTAGTTCTGGTTTTAGTCCTGATTTTAGCCCTAGTTTAGTCCTGGTTTAGTCCTGTTTAGACCTGGTTTTAGTCCTGGTTTTAGTCCTGGTTTAGTCCTGGTTTTGTCCTGATTTTAGTTTTGGTTTAGACCTGGTTTAGTCCTGGTTTTAGTTCTGGTTTAGAGCACACAGTCTATGGTTTAGAGGCACGGTCCATGCGGTGTATACAAGGCAATAAAAGGTGACGCTCCAGACTATGAGTCGATTGTCAGAATAGCAACATAATTTTACAGTTTACACACACACACAGTTACCGATCTTAATCCTGCTGCAGATGTGTACACATGTGGACCGTTATTTTTTCTTCACATGTGTGTCGCGCCTCCCCAGGGACTCTTTGACGCCCCCCAGGGGAGTTGTGCCTCACCTATTGAAAACTGCTGCCATACACCTTCAATAGAATCATGTGGATGATTTGAGACCTGGAAATACTAATCTGTACTCAACTAAAGGTTAAAAGGAGCCGTTAACTTCATGACATCATAAGGTGGAGTAGAGCATTTTGAGCTTTGGAGATGTAGACAGACTAATAATGCAGGATTACGCTGCTCTGGGGAAGTGTTTGATGAGGTAACGGCATTATAACATGGTTTAAAGCTCACAAGAGTCAATTTTGCAAGTGTTTAAGACCTAAGTACAAGTACACACTGCAAAAAAACAAAATCTGGTCTAGTTCAGATGACTTGAATTAAGAAAGTTCTTTCATGATTTCAGTAAATTTCACTCAACAAGTAAAATTATCTACCAGTGGAACAAGACGTTTTGTACTTAAAAATGAAAATGCATCTTGTTGCACTTATAATAATAAAAACAACAACTTTTTGATCTTAAAATAAGAAACCAAATCCAATGTTGCTTGAATTAAGAAAAACACTTATTCCATTGGTAGATAATTTTACTTTTCAAGTTGAATCGATTCAAATCAAGTCAAATGTTCTTAATTTAAGTCATGTAAACTTACCTGGATATTGATTTTTTTCCAGTGTAGTAAGTCTTTCTCTTGTTTCTTGTTTACTAGACTTACATTTTAAAAGCAGTTATCTTGAAAACTACTAAGTCTAGCTCAATGAAACTGAACAGTTTAGGTGTTGAACATTGACTTTGTTTGCCAGTTGGTGAAGTTTTTCCACATTTTGCATTGAAGGATGCACAGTCTTGCGTGACTGCGTGTGAGCAGATCCCAAAACGCAAAATGACTTCTCTTTCAGAATGAACGAACAGAACAAAAATATGTATTAATTAATCAATTGTTGCATTTATATAACGCCTTTCAAGATATCCAAAGGCGCTTTACAGTTCATTATTCATTCACTCAACACTCAGTGGTGGTAAACTACCACTGTAGCAACAGACCAGTAGCAGTAGCAGACTGACAGAAGCGAGGCTGCCTATCTGCGCCATCTGCCCCTCCAGCCACCACCATCACACACACACACACACACACACACACACACCACTTTCATACTAGGCAATGTGGGTGAAGTGTCTTGCCTAAGGACACAATGACAGTTTTTGTAAGTGGCGTCTCAAGATTTTATTTTTAATAACACATTAAAAATAAAATCTTGAGCTGTTTCTGTAGATTTTGTGAAAATTTTAGGTTATTTCAACAAGAACTGACAAAATGATTGGCCTGTGAAATGAAATTTTTTTGGGACAATCTTGATTTTGTTTTATGTATTTGTGTAGTGTAGTTGTAGTTGTAGTAGTTTTTTCTCGTTATGTCTTGAGCCTTTGGCAAATCTTAATCCCTGGATTAATCAAATATTCAGCACACTTGGCACTATCGTAATCAGATTTTTTTAACCATCCTCTTGTCGCTTTAGTCGAATCATTTCATCAGTAGATCCGCTCTTACCTTGACATATTTCTACAGTGACTTGTGTCTGTGTCAGGAGCGTCACATCACATGACGGCTGGTGTGATGTGTTCTTCCCTGGAGGCGTGGGCAGGCTGAAGGACGGGTCAGGACTAACACTGACCCCTTCTTCCCGCTGGTCACATACACATGGACAAAAAGATCATCAGATTCACACTGGAGTCTAGAGTCCTCTTTTACTCTGCCGGTTTACAGTGCAGTGATCCCAATGAGACGCATGAGGCTTGTACAAACTCACAGCACTGATCTGTCGCACGTTTCAGCTCGGATGTCTCCTGAACCTTTAGCCTATTAGGTCATTTAAAAAAAAAAAAAAAATTAAGTCAGTTTACTTCAACTGCGTTTAAAAGTTAGCTGGCTATTTCTAAAATCCTCAAATATTTGCACATTTTCAAGACTTACTGACTCCATACTAGAAGCTCTACAGTTATACAAGTAACGAATTACTGTAATACATTGCTTTGTGCCAACCTGGATTGAAGTGGTGGGTTTTTTGTTTTTCTTCATACAAATTTGCGAATGATAGAAACGCCGTCATTGCGGTTCCGAATGTCGGGACAGACCCAGGGGTGCGTTCATATAGACTGTCGGGTAACCGTGGTTAAAATGACAAACGCAGAACTCCACACTCCACGGGGCAAATCGCAGCCATCGCCCGATCGCGCTTTGTGGACACTCTGCTCCACGGTCTCAGGGTTCTCTCAGGGGCAGTCCTAGAGTCTAGTCCAAGTCCTAGTCCAAGTCCTAGTCCAAGTCCTAGTCCAAGTCCTAGTCCAAGATTAGTCCAAGATTAGTCCCAGATTAGACCTGGTTTTGACCTGGTTTAGTCCTGGTTTAGTCCTGGTTTAGTCCTAATTCAGTCCTGATTCAGTCCTGATTCAGTCCTGATTCAGTCCTGATTCAGTCCTGATTCAGTCCTGGTTTAGTTTTGGTTCAGTTCTCTTTGAGCTCTGGTTCGGTCCTGGTTTAGTCCTTTTTCAGCTCTGGTTCAACTCTGGTTCAACTCTGGTTTGGTCCTGGTTTAGTCCTGGTTTACTCCTGGTTTAGATGTGATTTAGTCCTGGTTTAGACCTGGTTCAGTCCTCAGTTTAGTCCTGGTTTAGTCCTGGTTCAGTCCTGGTTTAGTTTTGGTTCAGTCCTCATTGAGCTCTGGTTCGGTCCTGGTTCGGTCCCGGTTCGGTCCTGGTTCAGTCCTGGTTTAGCTCTGGTTCATTTTTGGTTTAGTCATGGTTCAGTCCTGGTTTAGTCCTGATTTAATCCTGGTTTAGACCTGGTTTAGACCTTGTTCAGTCCTTAGTTCAGTCCTGGTTTAGAGCTGGTTCAGTCCTCCTGGTTCAGTCCTCAGTTCAGTCCTGGTTTAGCTCTGGTTCATTTCTGGTTTAGTCCTGGTTTACTCCTAAGTCCTGGTTCAGTCCTGGTTCAGTCCTGGTTTAGACCTGGTTTAGTCCTGGTTTAGTCCTCAATTCAGTAATATTGTAATGTAACAAATTACTTTGAAATGACAGTGACGAGTTATAAATAAATAACACATTACAGTTTTGAAGTAACTTGCCCAAGTCTGTCTACAGTACAGGTAATTATTGCTTATTTAAGTTCATTTTTTGCCCTCTAACTGCGAGGTAACCGTTTGAATCTGAGCGTATAATAAATAATCTGTCTCTTAACAAAAACACTTGACAGACTTGACTGCAAGGTAAGAGCATCTGAGCGTATTTTATTACAAACGTCAGCAGTGCAACTTCTTCTTTTCAGCCCGATGTTTCTTTTTCACAATCCAATCCGATAATTATTTTCACTCCTTGACTTTTTTTTCACTCTAAACACACATCGGGGTGTAGTTTTTGGCATCATCTGGTGGAGAAATAGCAGATTGCGATTCCAAGTGTGGCAGACAGAGCAGAGAGACGGGAGACTCTGTGGAACCAGGTCAGTCTGTGATGAGGTCACAAAACCCATTAATTTCTGACACCGTAATAAATGTCCCTGCTTTTCTTCTAATATTCCAAGTACAAGCTCCAATATAGAACATGATGACTCTCCCCCGGCGGTGGAGATTGTAGATTGTCTGCTGTGGCCACCCGTAGAAACCAAAATACCATGGAAACTGAAATGAAATTAAGGATTGTTTGGTTTATTTAGTAAGAAAGATTTGAGAGATATTTGTGTGCATAGGATAGAAATTTGTTCATATTTGATTGAAGTTGAGCATAAAATAAATGTTCGTAAACTCTCGAGTGAGTTCAGTT